CCGCAGGTCAGAGTCGGGAGAGGGACGGAAGCAGATGCCCTGGGGAGGAGGTTTGCAAGGGTGCTGGGAGCCACTGGGCAGTTGGGAGGGAGTCGTGGGGAAGGGTGTTTTCTGATTCCTGCCACCCCTCTCCAGCACCCTCAGGGGCCTGTCTGCCCTCCTCTGTCAGTGCTTTCTGCCCCAGGCCTGGAAAGCCTAAGCGGTTTTAGAAAATTCATCCGAGCTGTGGGAAGGTGATGGTGACTAGATGGTCGGGACTGGTCTGTGTCCGAGTCCCCTCCCACCCCACACTCCATCTTCCCAGTAGCCCTCCCGGAGAGAATGAAGTCATTGTTTCCCATGCCCAGCCTGTGGGTGGGTAATCCCTGCTGGGCCCAGAGGCAAGGTGCATTCCCCCTCGGCCCCTCTGCCCTGCACCTGGCAGAAGCTTCTGGCTAGTGACAGCCTTGGCCACACCCGAGGTGGACCCCTAGCCACTCATCTCCAGACAAAGCCTGCAGTTCTCCCACTGGATCCCTGAGGAGACGGGCCCAGACAGCCCTGGGAACAGCCGGCTCTAACTGGAACGTGGGTCTCCTGGGCACGTCAGGAATGAGGCACATCTGGAAAAGTGTTTGGGAGACTGTTGCTGCCAGCAGGGCCAGACAGCGCCCAGGCCAGAGTGGCCTCAAGCCCCGCCCAGGGCTCAGGAGCTGGGGTGGGGACTCTGGCCTGGGGGCTCTGGAGGCTGGGCCAGTGACACCGTCCATGGAGAGGTGCAGGAGCCAACCGAGGGTGAGGGACAGCGTTCGCCAAGTCAGGACGCACTGGAGGCGAACAGCCCCTGCCTCCGAGAGCAAGCTCCCCGGGCTGGCAGGGGGCTTGGCCGCCCTCTCAGCTTCTCTGTGCACCCACTCTTAGCCCGGTGCTTCCTTTCCTACCCTCCTCCCCCTGCCAATTATGCAGGGACGTGGAGGCTGTGCCCTCATGCCCCCTGTCCTTCCTGGCACCTCTTAGGGCCTGCAGCCCAGCCCTTGTACTTGTTTTTGGGCCAAGAGACCTGGGCTTTCTCTCTGGTAACCAAGTCTATTGGGGGCCCTTCCTGACAGGTGGGCAGAGAACCAGATGTGGACTCTGGGGTTGGGTGGTCCTGGGTTCTAATCCCGGCTCTGCCTTTCCTTGGCAAATCACTATCTGAGCCTTCCAGCGTTGTGGGAAGACAGGCCTCGGCCAGATGCTGTTTCCTTCCTTCCTTCCTTCTCTGGTTGGCCTGGATTTGTGGCAGACTAGGGAGAAGGAGGTGGAGGAGTTTGCAGCCTTCCTGGGCCTGGGGCTTCGGCAGCAAACCTTCCCCCTTTCCCATCCAAATGGTCAGGCATGGCCACAGAGGCCCCTCAGCACCGGGGAGATGGTGGGCAAATGAGGTCCGCATTAGCATTCCTGGCGATGCTTGCATTTGGTGGCGCCTCCTGGTGACGGCAATGCCTTCCTCCAAAGGAATGGAGCCATGTGGTGGCATTAAGGCAGAGGCCACACCGGCAAGGGGGAGGGGGCAGGAGATGTAGGGGGTGGCAGTGGGTGCCCCGAGGACCCTCGTATCATCCTGAGATGGGTGGGCCCCTGAGTGGCCGGGGCGAAAGTGCTTTGCCTAACCTGTTACCCCCTGGGTCCCCTGCCTCCTGCTCTGCTTCTTCCGAGGACACACTCACACTCACACACAGCCACGCTCTCGGCCGGAGTGTCCTCACAGAGCCTGCAGGCCACATGCTGGGATGGAAGCTTCATGAGGATAGGGGGCTGCTCTGTCTGGGCCGCAGCTGTCTCCCCGTACCCAGAGCAATGTCTGGCACATGATACATGCTGAGCACATATTCTTGGATAAATTAGGAAGTTCCAGATCATTCTCCCCACAGTAGCATGTCATGTACCCTCAGCTGTGTGGTGGCTGCTGACCTGTGGACACTGTCAGGGATACCTGGATGCACACAGGTCGTGCAGGCCCTTCTTCCTGCCTCTGCCGGGCCACACCAGCCTGAGTACAGGAGCGCCTGCGGCCTGGGGCCAGCTCTCCCCCTGCCACTGTCCTCAAGTGCTCTTGGTGGCGTCTTACTACCCATCAGCCTCAGAACTTAGCACCAAGCAGAGTAGGGTGGGGACAGGTGTGGGCCCAGTAGGAGCCAGGAAGCCCAGGGGGAGGAGGAGGATGGCGTGTATGTCCCTCGGCAGACACGGTCTGAGGGAGACAGCCCAGGAGCCTGCGGCCTGGAGGGAAGTGGTCCTCTTCCAGAAGACCACAGTCCGAGCTCGGGTGCCACAGCCCACCCCGCAGGAGCCCAGTCGGCGGGAGAAACAGGGCTGTCATCCGCAGCCCCAGCGTGAGGGATCCCGGCCCTGCAGAGAGAGGTCTGGTCGGATGCCCCCAGGAATGGACCAGATAACTCTGCATGTGGGCCGGTGTCACCCACTGCCAGGGCACAGGGCCAGCAGCCAGGGGCATGAGGGAGCCTCCAGGCATGGAATGCTGAGCGGGGGCTGCTCGGAGTGAAGGATGGGGAGGAGGCTCTGCGAAGTGGCCCAGCAGGGCCGGCTCCCTCTCTCAGGTGGTCAATACGGCCCCAGTTACCTCTGGCCACCCGGGCTCCCTGACCAGGCAGGGCCCACCGGCCACCACACTGACAAGCCTCGGGCAAACTGCATCCTAAATGTCCAGGCACTAGGTGAGGCAGCTCCCCACCCCCACCCCAGGTGGCCTCCCGCTCCCGGCAAGCACTCACCAGGCTCGGCCCTGGTAGTTCTCCTTGCGGGTGGGAGTGGGGGCTGGTGTCATTGTCCACAGGATGGCCCCCGACAGGAGGCACAGGACCCACATGTTCATCCTGCCCTGCCCCGGCATCCCGGCATATTAGAATTCGGAGTCCTTTCCCTCACCGGGCCTCAGTTTCCCACCTATAAATGGGCGAGGCCACCACTTCTGAGTAGGACCGTGGTGGGCCAGGCAGGAGGTGGGAGGAGAGGGACCCAGATCACCCAGGCCCTTCCAGCAGGCCACAGAGGGCCCTCCCTCCTGGGCCGGCCCTTCCAACACGCTCCGTGCAGCAGGTGGGCAGGCCGGGCCGTGTCCTGGCCCCGAGGTCCAGATCCTTGCTGTGCGTCGGCTGCCCTGTGCCTCTGGGTCAGAGAGGCCAGGGCGTCTCCCCCTGCTGGGGGCTCCCCTCTCCCTGCTCATCTCCCCTTTTCTGCCTCTTGGCTCTGGCTCCAGTCCTGTCTCCCCTTTTAGTTTGTCCTCTGAGCTCTTCCGTCTCTGTCTCTTGGCCCCGCCTGTCTCGCTGTCTCTGGCTGGGGATCTGTCTCTCTCTGTCATTTCCACTTCCACTCTGATTCCATTCCCCGCTCCTCTTTCGCTCTCTCTGCCTGCCTCTTTGTCCTGTCTTGTGCTTCCCTCTGTCTGTGTCTCTTTGTCTCCCCCTTTCTCCCCTGGTCACTTCCTTCCCCTCTCCTCCCCTCTCCTCTCCTCTCCTCTCCTCCCCTCTCCTCCCCTCTCCTCTCCTCTCCTCCCCTC